TATTATAATTTCAACTTACTGTGTATTAAAGGCCACAGATATTGCACACCCACTTCTGCCAAAAGATCTTCCATCTTGCGGAAACCACTCCGAAAAATAAAAATTTAAAGTAACACCATGCGACGCGTGCCAAACCAACAACAGGAAAGAGCGAGCAGTGATGCACACAGCACAGTATTCGGAACTCGAGCATGCGCGTAAATTGCCAAATGTCTACAGAGATCCCAGTTATTTGAATTTTGGTCATGTTTATTTTGTAAAAATTCCAGAATATTTAATTTAAAGTAGCTGTTATTTCGTTTAAAAAATCTGAATATATTAGATTTATGGCGTTCGTTCCAAATATATATTTATTTAATAATGTAACTCGTATCATTTTAAGAAGTCAAACAAATAATTTGAAAAAACCAAATACGCAGATTTATTTAAACCAAATACATTGTCGTTGGTTTAACTAATCATTATTTGGGTGAAATAAAAAAAAATCAAATAAATATTTATTAGGCAAATTTTTCACTAATTTTTTCAGTGTAGTTAAATGGTAGACCATATGCTTAAAACTGCGCTCCTGAAAAGTGACTAAATATTTTAATCATGTTCTATATCTAACCTATTACAACTTTCTTGTAAAAAATCTAATTAGAAAATTGTTTCTGACAACATTGTAGATCTGACTTTTCCGATCATGGACATTTTTTTTTTTTTTGTATTTGTTTATTTTTCGTGGATTTTTTTCCAAGACGATGCTCAAACGCGATTGAAGGCGAGTTTCCCTTGCGTTCACTCAGAATCACGCGCGCTACGGTCGATTATCGCTTATTTCTTCCTTGTACGTCTAGTAAATGTTGAAAATCTATGACAATGGTTTTGTAGTGAGTATTTTATTAACAATGTTGTTTTTTTTTTACATATTTTATAATGCCTCCACTTGTCGATACAATGTGGATTTCGCACGTTAACAATTTAAGAATTAAAATCAACTACCCCCTAATTATAAAATACCTAATCAATCGGATTCTGACTCCAATTTATCCTTCACCATTTCTGAAACCTGTTGGGTCCTTTTCGTTTGAGAATTTTGGCAATTACCTGTTTGTCCCATATATTTGCACGATCCAATACAAGACAGCTTCTTTTTCGAACAAGAACATTTGAATCGGGATTATCCTGAGGAAAATTATATTGAGGAAAACGAATATTGATCAAAAGAACCTTTTTTACAGTTACATGTATTCAATATAGAGGCATCACTAGGCTTAGCGGGTTTTGTACAGAGAACCGGAATGAGGGCATTGCCATCATTCCTGCAACCATTTTGCAAAGAATCCATTGAAGATGTCGTCAGATTAAGGCTATTTTTCCAGATATATGTTTGGTAGTTTACTCGTCATCCTGCTTCATGGAGCATTGGAAAAAGCTACAGACGCAATATATTGAAGCATAATGGGCTCTTTCACTAAAATTTAAATACGTTATTCAAGTATAAAATCCCAAAGGAGGGACTATTTTAGGCATATATACCAAAAAAAAAGTTCTACAAGGTTCAATAAGTTTTTCACAGGCAATCAAAAGTGGCCAAATTCAAATTAATTTTGAACGCGCCGATTTGCCGACGTCACATAAATATTCTTCATTTCGCTTATGTTGTTGCAAGGAGGACCGGCTCGTCTGTGTTTGCGCTCTGTAAAGATACGTAAAGGTTCGAATGCGCTGTTGTCGGTTGTGACTAAATGTAGTGCAGCGTAAAAAAAATAAATAAAACTAAACATAAAAAATTGTATTAAATTGTGTTTAAGCATAATTTAAAAAAAAATGTTATAAAATCTTGAATCTATAACTAATTAATTTACCTACTTTTCATGAGATTTTGCCAACATTTCAGAATTAAATCTATTACAAATTTTCAATGTTGACAATTAGTGGCAACACGGTCAAATTGCGAGTTGCGACGTCATAGAAATAAATTCTGGGTTTTTATTTGGAGGTATTTCTTTGTTTTCTGTTTTCTCAAGAAGGACTTTGAATTTTTCAAAAGTAAAAATACAGAAAATTCTGTTTTTAGTTGCTTTATCCAAATATGCCAATTTCAAAAATTAGTGAAAGAGCCCATTACATTTCCTTTCCATGGGTTAAAGCACAAAGTGGAATTGAAGGAAATTAATTTGTGGACGATTTAGCAAAAAACAGTAGTATTGAGGATGGGTCTCCTACAGAAATTGATCTTGTACTGAGTGAATGAGGAAAATATATTCGAAATGGTTCCAAATATATTGCTATTTTCAAAAGATTTTGATGAATTCAATGCTCGTTATGAAACGTTAAATCAAACATACGAATTAAATAAAATCAATTTTGACGACTTTAAACTTTATTGACACATTAGTATTAGAATATGATACTTCGATCACATAATATGTCCTAATAACTGATTTGAATCATTTTGATAAACCATCTCCTAAGGATATATTTTACTCTCTTCAAAACTTAAAGGTGAAAATCACTGACCCCAAATACTACTCTTCAATTAAAAAATCCAAGATCTTACAATCCTACTATTAAACACGATATACTAAATGAAATAATTTTCTACGTATTTGATAATAATCAAAAACACGGTAGACTCAGATAAAATTAAACCGGATACGAAAGAAGAAATTGCCGAAATTTTAAAGGAAAATCATTCTACCTCTCTTGCTGGTCATCCCCGATTTAACATATTTTACCCACGGATTAAGGCAGTTTAGAAATAGCCCAATGAAAAAAGATATCAGAACGTTCATAATAGTATATTGTTGTATTAGGAGTAGAAGCTTTACTTTTTTGTGCTGAAGCGGTAGGTTTGCGAGCCGAACGTAGTGAGGCTTGCAATACTGCTGAAGCACAAAAAAGTGCTTCTACTCCGTATGCAACACGCTATTTTTTCTCCAAACGAATGGGGTAAGCTCGGGGGCAAGTGAATGGTTGAGCGGCAGCAAAAGTACGAGCGGCACTAAAAGTACTTCTACTGCCGCTCCAGCGGCACTAAAAGTACTTTTGCTGCCGCTGGGGTTGCCAAGCAGCATAGAAATTAAGTTTCTACCACCTCGACAGGTGTTAACCCGCTGGATTTGCCTAGCAGCATAGAAATCAAATTTCTGACATCTTGACAGGGGTTAACAAAGTGACGTTTTTCTGACGTTTGGAGAAAAAAGGTTTTTTCTCCAAACGTCAAAAAAACGTCAATTACTTAACTCCTGTCAAGATGTCAGAAATTTGATTTCTATGCTGCCAGGCAAATCCAGCAGGTTAACACCTATCGAGGTGGTAGAAGTTTAATTTCTATGCTGCTTGGCAACCCTAGCGGCAGCAAAAGTACTTTTAGTGCCGCTCATACTTTTACTGCCGCTCAACCATTCACCTGCCCCCGAGCTTACTCCATTAGTTTGGAGAAAAAAATATCGTGTTACATACGGAGTAGAAGCACTTTTTTGTGCTTCAGCAGTATTGCAAGCCTCACTACGTTCGGCTCGCAAACCTACTGCTTCAGCACAGAAAAGTAAAGCTTCTACTCCTAATACAATATACTATTATCAAGTGTCAAGAAAATAAAGTAAATCGTCATCCAATTAAAGCTCCAATGCAAGTTAATTCTTCTTGAAGAAGTTAATAGTCTATCTAAAATTAAACATATTACCACATCAGTTTATAGACCTCAGAGTTATAGAGCCTTAGAACGCTCTCATTCTACGCTAGAAGATTATTTAAAACATTTTACCAATAAAAGTCAAGACAATTGGGACGAATTTATTCAAACTGCCATGTTTTCGTATAACACTCTAGTCTATTCAACTTCTCAATTTACACCATATGAGTAAGTGTTTGGCCATAAGGCAATATTACCCAATAAAATAACAAAAGACCGAGAATTCCACTACATGTATAATACCTATAACAAACAACTTCAGTAGAGATTAAATAAATGATCGTTTCAAATTGCTAGAGAAAACATTATCAATTCTAAAATGAAATCCAAAACCTATCACGATAAAAAAATTATTGATTTTAATTTTTCTGTAGGCGACCAAGTTTATGTCCTGGATAAAGCTTCAAAGCCCCGAATAAGTAAAAAACTTTCCCCGAATTATAAGGAACCATATAAAATAACAAAAATAAACTCGAATAATTCGGTTTTCTTAAAAATAAAAAATAAAGCTTGTTTTGTTTCACCAAGACTTTAAAACCATTTGTTTTAGACAAAAATGAAGCTGATACATTACACGCTATATGCTCTTCTCATAATTACGATTTGTTGCGCCCACCTATCGCAAACGGAGGAGCAGGCTTATTAAATAACACCAATCAATAACCTTAAGCAGGCATCTGTCACCAATCTCTAGGCACCCGCGAAACTATAAAACAATGCCTAGGTAGGTACCGCATAACATTCCGCATACGAATTTCGGACCAAATTACATTCCGTATATGCGTTTGGCACCTCGCCGTTTATTGGTTTAAATTCGACCGCATGGTGCGAAGAACCAATGAGAATATGCCTGGGTGCCAAATACATATACGGAATGTTTAGATGCGAACGGCACTGTCATACATTATTTGTCCATTTGCTTTCTCCACTATAAGACTTATAAGCACGTGGTGGAACAAAGAGGCAGATGGTTTATTGCATTTTATATGGCTTTTGCTACATCTCTGAACAAACTTTGTCTCAACAGACTCTACGTATAAATTTCCATGATCGCAGTTTTATCTGCACTTTCAGGAGCAAAAATAAATAAAGCCAAGATATTAATTTCTTAACAATGTGGGTGATGTAGAGTTGCAGTTGCAAAAAGATGTAAGAAATGTTTTGAACAATGAGTGTTATAGAAATATGTCCTAGACTTAAAGATGACAGAACAAATTAAAACAAACAAGACTTTCTAGAAAATAAATGATGATCTAAAATAAAAACTGCCATAATGATCAACAGGAAAGGTGATATGGTTTATTTTTGTCTAAATATTTTAACAAGAGCGAAAAGATTGCCACAGTTTATTTTAAATTTTACAATTATATATTATCTTTTTATTGTTCATTTTAAAATAACATTCAATAACTTAAACAACTAATGTTAATTTATACAACAGAAACTTTTGTTCTAAATCTCAATATCCATACGATTTTTTTTTCTTGTTATAAGTATACCCACTGTACACAAAACTTTCATGAAAGTATAGGGTCAAATTAGACTAGATAGCTATTGATAAACAATAGACAAATTTGAAAAATTGTTCAAAGTTTTGTGTTTCAAAAAATGTCACTTATTTCTGATAGCGGAACATGAGGGATTCAAACTCACCAACAAACGTAGCTATTTTATTCTAGAAAAGAGCTTCAAAATGTTTATTTATAATTATTTTGAAACCCTTTAGTGACAGATAACAGTGATAAAAGACCTATCACTATTCTGGTACTTAACAGATATCCTAAAAAAACTAGAACTAATTTATAATAAGATAACATGTTGCTACTTAAAGTTAGGGGCACAGTTTTATAGTAGCTTGGAAGCATAAATAAAATTAACGATTCAAGATTTATTATATCACGATATTTTGATGCTGGCTATAGAAAAAAATACCCGGTATAGTTACATATAAAATGTGAATTAGTGTAAAAATGTTTTTCTAGGCAAAACGGGATTTGTATCATTTTGAATTAAATGTTGTTTTTCTTTGTAAAAACCTAAACGTTCATCCTCTTTTTTTGTGATGATAATTTTCTCCTAAATTAACTCTAAAATTATAGGTATATATTGCCATTTTCTTCATAAAGCTTGTTCTAGTGCATTTTTTCTACTCAGTTCTCGTCTATCTTACTTTTTACTTTCAATAGGGTGACTTAATAACATTTTGTGTACTTATGTGAAAATCTACTGTTTACCAATCTGTTTGATTTAGCTTATTTAATAGATCTCAATAATTCAATTTAATTTAAATTATTCAATTTATTTTTAAATTGTTTCTTAAGATGCAAGAATAGTAAGTTCTATTGATTTTAATAGTAGCTTATCTATGATAGTACTGTAACAAGTATTTGAAATAGTCAAAAACAATTTCAATTTAAACAAATATTTGGAAGGATTTTTGAAAATTTGTTTCTTTTCCCAGGATTATACAGTTTTGGGGTTGTTTTTCCTGGACGCAATTTTAAAGCTCTTCTCAAAAATCTCTCAAACAAAAAATAATTTTATTATTATATATTATAGTTTACATCTATGTACTTTTTATTTCTTTTTTTTTTTTTAAATATAATACATACACGAATCTAATATGGTGGAGTCTACATCTAGTTAATATAGTATTTTTTTGAGTAGGCATCTTAGAATTATTTACAGATAGAGGAGTATCAGATAAACTTTTTGAAAACATAAATATATACATTAAAAATTTAACGTATAATTTTCTATATACGTTAATTTTTCATTTACGACTTAAACTTTGTAGAGCGACAAAGACTACGAATGATTCTTGTGGTTCGGAAAATGTATTGTTACTGTTACCAGCCAAAACCTTTTGAATAAATTAGGTATTGTAAATATCTATGAGTATATAATTATTATTACACAGAAATTTGAAACTATTTTTTCCCATCTGTGTAAAAAAACTAAATATATACAGCCTAGTGCAAAGAACCCAGTATCTTACAACAATAAAATATGTATAAGCTATGTAGATAAACTTTGGAATACTTGAATGATTTTACAATGATATGACTGTTTTGTGATAGTTTTTTATTTTTTGAACCACACGCATGAATAAACTAAAGAAAGTTCAGTTTGTCGTAAAATATTTTTTAGATTTATATTTCATTCACCTTCCATGTATTATTTTTTTGTGCAAATTCATATTTTATACAATAGTTTATTTAAAAGATACGACTAATCTATAAATTTTCTATTGTCTTGTCAAACTCTCTATTAGATCTACCATAATGTTCCTCTATTATTCGTCCCTTAATATTTATGATGTTCAGTAGATCTTTATTTAAATAATAAAAAGTGAATTCTCTAGATTAGTTTAAGTCTACTTTAGGCTGTAAAAGCACATTAAAAATAATAAATGCATCAACAACATTATAGTAAATGAACTAATTTGTGAAAAATGGTAAAGTAGGTACAAACAGCTCTAGAACTACATTTTATAAACATAGTTATACATATATGCAGCAACAAACAATTTTTTCATTTTGGGAATAGGGGTGAATTTTCTTCATTTTTGGAGAGGCATCCATTAAATCTCTAAAAAAAAAAATCATTTCAAATTAGTATTTACCAAAGACAAACTCTTACCATAATAAATACATGCAAAGGTTATTATAGTATGTTTTCATCGTCATTGCAGGCTCTTTAATCCTTCTTCTCGTCTTCAGGGTCCTTCAGGGTGTGCCATTGGGCGATAGGTCGACGTGGCGAGGCCAACATATCAGACCAATGACGTAATTCGGTTCCACTCGCATTGTAACCCAGTACTACCTTGCCAATTGGTTCAGATGTACCGATCCTGTCATAGTCTACCACTGTTACCACCAAGTTAACTTTCTATAAAAAGAAATAGGATTAATGTAGCATATTATGGCGGCGCGAATGGATTACGGATATATAAAGGCCAAGATTAGCTAGTAGTTTTAAGTTTAAGATAACGGGCTAACATACCCTTTGGTAGCCTCTCAAAATCAGATAATTAAAATATAAAATTCATATGACCAATTTACCTACAACCTATATTGTCTGCAATGTTAAAAAATAAAAATGGCATTTTTTAAAAATTGTCATATACATATTATGTTGTTTTATATATTTTTTATATCTTTATAAAATATACATATTTATTATATAAAATAAATAATTGAAAATTACGGGTGTTCTCAATCTATTATAACTTTCTATATTACACTTAGACACATTCAACCCAATTCCATTTTGTACAGACCAATTGTCCAAAACATCCAAGTTGCTTTGTAGATAGATGCAGTCATCAATATTCTTGACTTCAACTAGGTCATTAATGAACAGTAGAAAAAGCACAGGTCCTAGGTTAGAACCATGTGGAACACCTGAAGTGGCGTAAAAAGAGTATGAATCAAAGCCCTCATATCGAACGAACTGGCTTCGCCCTCGGAGATAGGACTTGTCTTTCAGAAAAACCGAATGTATGCAACTTGTTTAACAATATACGGTGATCGATACTATCAAACGCTTTACGAAAGTCCGTGTAGGTAACATCCACCTGACCCATAGAATCAAGCGATTGACAAATACACTGAGATACAAGTGGCTTGTATCAAACCCAGTTCCGGGATGGAACCAAAAATGGGTTGTGTTTTCTCTCTGCGGGACCTAACCGTGCTGATGAGCTGTGATACAGCGAAACGCGTCCACGGATGGTCCTGCAGAGAGAAAACACTTCTCAATCGGTCCTTAATTGGGCCGTTACCTAATTAAATACACTGAGATAGACTACAAAGATTAGGTCACACATGATCTGCCGCTGACAAAGCCGTGCTGGTGCTCAGTTATTGAGCCCTTCACTTGATTGGATATAGACGTGTGTAAAATAATCTCGAACAATTTCCAAAAGTTATACAGAGTATTGAGGTTGGTCGGTAGTTTGTGATTAAGGCAGAATCGCCTTTTTTTAAGATTGGGGTAATTCGGGTAGTTTACCAAATATCTGGAAACACCTTCTTAGACAGTTTTAAATTAAAAATTAAAGTATCGGGTCGATTAAAGCACAAATACAATCTTTGACAAGGAAACTCGGCACGTCATCAATACCAGCAGTAAATTGGTTCTTAAGTTTTTTACATGCATTAAAGGTCAATGCATTAAAAACATCATACAGGGCCGGCCCTACCATAAGGCGCGAGCGCTCCAGGCGCCAGACCTCGAGGGGCGCCTCCGACTTGTTCCTTGGTAAAAAAAAAGAGAAAAATATGTTTCTGAAATCTGTTTATCCGAACGATATTTTTGCATTACATTTAAGGACACCAGTTTAAATCAAGAATTTCAATATGTTTGAAAAATGAATATAATATTTTCAAGATATATTTTTCATTGTACTAAATAGTCTTGTTTCAAAATGTTTCAAATTTTTATTCCTAAATTACGAATTTTAGTTTTGAGATTGCATCGGCTCTTTATTTGGAAATTATTACCTCTTTAGAATGATGGTTTACAATTTTGGAAGGAGAAACAATATACCTATTTAGAGAATGTACTAATTTTTGTTTTGAACAACCGAATACTTAAACGGAAAGGATAAAAAATAAAATACTCTTAATTTGAGTATATGATTTCTCCGTATTCTCAATGTTAACAAATATAAGAGCATAAAATACCTATTTCAAAAATATAGGTATATCTTTAATTTAATAAGTTTCACATCCTCAATTCGAAAATACATTGAAAATGTATTTTCCATTAGAGAATATAACCGTACCGTAATGCTTGGTTTGAATTGAACGGCTTACAAGTATAACGATCTTTCATAGGAACTCACTTCAACTCTCAGTCTTCACTAGTTCGTTGAAGAGTGAGGTTCATGTATAAGGTTACGGCGGGCTGTTTGAACTTCATCATTCAGTTTTTTTTTTGTGTGGATCTTCTATGGAGGCCAATCACGTTCTTTGTCTACCCTATATGGATTGGATTTATATTCTGCAGTATCTATACAGATTTTGTAATGTGGAAAATAAAAACGTTTAGCATTCTGTAACTGAATTTGGGCGAACGCTGTAGAGTAGAATACTCTAATGGCCATTTGCACCGACCATTTTGAGGGAGACTTAACGATAAGTATTCCTTAAAATGACATTTTTACATGTAAAAAATATCATTTTAACGTATAGGGGAAACTGTTGTATATCGGGACAGGTTCCTTAGTGGGACAATTCAAATTGTCCGCCACCGGTATCGCTTAAAATTCCGAAAAAAATTGTGTCAACTGCTTCATATATGAGCATTAGATATAACCTTGGCATTGGCCGTTAGAGTCTTCAATATGGCGGGATTTTCGTTAGTGTAAGCATAAAAGTGACAAAGTTTTTTTTTACGACCACGTGTTGGGCATAGTTTATGCCAGTAATATCCAATAGTTTGTCCTGAATTTGAGGATAATTATGCCCGCAGGTGTCTTGAAGGTGAATTAAGGTTATTTTTTTCTAGTATTTGTTCATATTTTCTCAAATTCAGAAAATTTCAAAAAGCGTATAAGGTTGTATTGTGGGACAGTGTATACTGGGACAGAATTTCTGGGTTGCATATTGGGACAAACATTTTATCTGCTCTATAATAGAACACTTTCGTATTTCACCTAGTTTCAATACCCTCTTTCTTCCAGAAATTGATAAAAATAGGGGCCGCAAAAACAAGAAATCGTTTTTTGAGAGTCGGAAAATTCACTTTGAGAATGCTGGGGAAGGCGGTAGACTCGGCGGTAGATGGTGTTCTTAAAAATGAAACCAATATTAAGACTGCTGCAGTTCAATTTGGAGTTAGCAAATCAGCGTTGCATAGAAAGAAGCACAAAATAAATGAAGCAAACACGCAGGAATTAAATTTTCAAAAGGCAACATGGTGTCATTGGTGTCAAGCAGATTTTCAGTGACGATGAAGAGCCAATGCTTAGCAAATATTCAGTTACTTCTTCACGAAGGTGCTACGGTTTAACTAGCAGAAAACCTAGAAAGTTGGCTTATAGATTTGCCATCGCACATTAAAATAAATCCACAAACATGGACGGAGAATGAAATCGCCGGAGAAGAATGGTTCAAACTTTCTCGAATTCGAAATAAGTTTGGCTACCTACTTAATTTATGTCGAAGTTCCATCATTTTGTGAATAAGCGACGGAATTTTTTTTTATATTTACTTATTTTGGATCAAAAAACATTGTCCCACTATACCCATGCATCATTCCCAGTATGCAACATGGGGTGGTTGTATAGTGGGAAAGTGGTGTATAGTGGGACATTCAATTTTTTCTATGTTAAAGTGTAAAAGTTGTTGAAATTTTTATAATTGTTAATAAACAAACTACTTTTAAATATATTAGAATGTTCACAATAGTTAAAAATTATTCAACAATTTTTTTATTTCAATTAGAAAAATATTGTCCCAGTATACAACAGTCTCCCCTACTTATCGTTCAGCATCCCTTGAATGGTCGGTGCAAAGTGCAAATGGCCATAAAAAAGTATACAAAAGTTTACTTTGAGCATATCTCAATTTTCATGGTGAAATTACCGTCCTCTTAAAATGAAACTGGGATAGCATCAAACAAAGCAGATCTATATTATTAGATGGATCTGACATATGCTCAATTCAAGTTGCTATATGAATATATAAAAGTTTAGGATGAAGCGACATATCTTCAATTTGAAAACACTTCATTTTTATTTAAAAAATCTGAAATACTCAAACGAAACATCGCATTTTGTTAAAAGAAACCTAATATATTGAGAATTTGCTATTCTTATTCCAAGGCGTCATAGTCTTGAGTATATACAAAGCTAACTTATGCTCGAATTGAGCTTAAGCTATTTGAACCAAGTATTTTGTTTTTTGCGTGCAGAGTTGCAATTTTTTTAATTCAAAAGACCCACTGAGTGATATTTTTGCATTACAGCCTATGGCCTGATTTCTGATTTTTTTCCTGGAAATCTGGGAAACTTTGGGAAATGTAGAATTTTTTTATTTATCTAGGAGCCTTTCAGCTTTGACATACCAAAATTTGATTGGATGAAATCCAAAGATAGCCAAGTTACGATTTTTTTAATCCAAAGCTCCATTGAGTGATATTTTTGCATTACAGCCTATGGCCTGATTTCTGATTTTTTTCCTGGAAATCTGGGAAACCTGGAGAAACCAAATATGTTTTGGCTTATTGAGGAAGCTTTCGGTTTCAACATATTAAAATTTTATTGAAAAATAGTTCAGGATAACGGAGCTATGATTTTTAAAATTAAATAAACACACTTAGCGATATCTTTGACGTGGCCTGATGGCCTCATTCCTAATTTTTTTTCTAAAAATTCTGGAAACTTGTATTAACTAAATATTTTTTTTCTACAACTGTCAAAAAATGATGATGTTCGCACACTCATGACAGTTTGCGAAGTGACACTTTTTTTCCCAGCTATTGATTTTTTAACGTTCCCATGACGCCGTGCGCGAACTAGTTATTTCGCGCACGTGTGCGCGAAATAACTAGTTCGCACACTGGGTGTCATGGTGACACATACCTGTCAGGAAATCAAAAATAATTAAAATTCACCTATCTTTGATTGAAAATGCAATTTTGGCTTCGAATGATTGATATTTAAATGGAGTTGTAGAAAAAATATTGTTTGCAACTCGGGCGCGAAATACTTTGGTGATCTCGACTATTTTTTCAACTCGGCTGCGCCTCGTTAAAAAAATCAGATCTCGATCACCAAAGTAGCATTTCGCGCCCTTGATACAAAAATAACTATTTATTTATTAAGGAAGCTTTTAGCTTCAACATACTAAAATTTTATAGAGAAATATCCCAGAATAACG